CCCTGGACGCTGTTGACTGACCTCGTCTCCCTCACACTCTTTTCTCTCTGGGTCTGGGTGACACTGCTCTCTCCTGGTTTTTCTCTTACTAGCCTGACCATTCCTTTTCAGTCTCCTTGGCTGGGTCTTTATCCAGGCCATGCCTGTTAATGGTGGTGAGAGTCCCCTAAGGCTCTGTCCACGACTGAACTCATTATCTTTCCCCCCCAAATCCTCTCCTTTTCTTCTCTTTCTTATTAGCCTAGAAGACAACACCATCCTGCCTGTCCCCCAGGTTCCCAACCTGGGGGCCATTCTCAAGCCCTCGCCATCCCTCCATCCCTTTCCAAGGCCTGCTGATTCACGGCTCTGTCATAGGCCCCCTTGCCTCCTCTGACTCTGCCCCCAGCCTGGCGCAGACCCTCATCACTGCCCGCCTGGGCTATCGCACTGCTCCGGTTGGATCGTGCCCGCCCCCATTCAGTCGTCCTCAGTGGCTCCCCTTCCCCTCTAAGATCAAACAGAAAGCCTCTGGGTTTTAACTGCCTCTTCCTCCCTTTCCAGTCTTCTTCCTCAGGCCGACCCGCTGGGTGCACTGGGATGAAGTGAGGCTGGCCTCCTGGCTGTTCCTCACACAGACTGGGCATTTTCCCCGGCCTCTCCCAGGCCCAGAACTCCTCTCCCTCCTCATCTTGGCCTCCCTGGCATCCTTCAGGGGCCAGCCAAAATTCCACCTTCTCCAAGAAGCCTTCCTCCAGCCCCTCTTCCTGCTGGGGCCTCCCCTCCATTGATTAGCTACAAATGACCATCCACAGCTGGCCTCTTGTTGGATTCCCGACTAGCCTAGAAGCAGCAGGAGGGCAGGCAGAAAAGAATGAGAGACAGCTGCAGCAAAGACAGGGACCTCAGTCCCAGAATTATGGAACAGTCTGAAGAAGAGGTCGCTGATGTTCGCCTTGAGTCACGGCCACCCAGATGTGATGTGGCCATGTCATGTGGTCAGATCACATGATGTGATCAATCACACTGATAACACTGGACCAGCCCTGCACTCCTGGTGTAAATCCTACCTGGTCACAGTGTATTATTCTTGAGATAAGATGCTGTAATCTCTTTGCTAATATTTTATTTAAAATTTTTGCATCAATATTCATTAGGGAAATTGATCTATAATTTTCTTTCTCTGTCTTGACTCTTCCCGGTTTAGGTATCAGCACCATATTTGTATCATAGAAAGAATTTGGTAAGACTCCTTCTTCACCTGTTTTCACAAATAGTCTATATAGTATTGGAATTAATTGTTCCTTAAATGTTTGATAGAATTCGCTTGTAAATCCATCTGGCCGTGGAGATTTTTTCCTAAACAGTTCATTGATGGCTTGTTCAATTTCTTTTTCTGAGATGGGTCTATTTAAGTATTTTACTTCACCTTCTGTTAATCTGGGCAATTTATATTTTTGTAAATATTCATCCATTTCACTAAGATTATCAAATTTATTGGCACACAGTTGGGCAAAATAGCTGCTAATTATTGTTTTAATTTCTTCTTCATTGGTGGTGGATTCGCCCTTTTCATTTTTGATACTGGTAATTTGGTTTTCTTCTTTCTTTTTTTAATTAAATTAACCAAAGGTTTATCTATTTTATTGGTTTTTTCATAAAACCAGCTCTTAGTTTGATTTATTAGTTCAATAGTTTTCTTATTTTCAATTTTATTGATCTCTCCTTTGGTTTCCAGTATTTCTAGTTTGGTATTTGAGGATTTTTAATTTGTTCTTTCTCTAGGTTTTTTAGTTGCATGCCCAATTCATTGATCTCTTTCTCTATTTTATTCATGTAAGCATTTAGAGATATAAAACTTCCCTTAAGAATCGCTTTCACTGAATCCCGTAAGTTTTAGTATGTTGTCTCATTATTGTAATTCTCCTGGATGAAGTTATTGATTGTTTTTATGATTTGTTGTTTGGCCCATTCATTCCTTAGGATCAGATTATTTAGTTTCCAATTAATTTTTAGTCTATCTTTCCATGGCCCTTTATTACATACAATTTTTATTGCATCATGACCTGAAAAGGATGCATTTAATATTTCTGCCTTTCTGCATTGGATTGTGAGGTTTTTATGCCCCAGTGCATGGTCAATTTTTGTGTATGTGCCATGTACCTCCAAGAAAAAAGTATATTCCTTTCTATCCCCATTCAGTTTTCTCCAGAGGTCTACCATATCTAACTTTTCTAAAATTCTATTCACCTCCTTAACTTCTTTCTTGTTTTTTTGTTGTTTTTTTTTTGTGGTTAGATTTATCTAGTTCAGAGAGGGGAGGTTTAGGTCCCTCCACTAGTATAGTTTTGCTGTCTATTTCTTCCTGTAACTCCCTGAACTTCTCTAAGAATCTGGATGCTATAGGGACAGCTAGGTGGTGCAGTGGATAGAGCTCCAGCCTAGGAGTTGGGAGGACCTGAGTTCAAAATTGGCCTCAGACACTTGATACTTACTAGCTGTGTGACCCAGGACAAGTCACTTCACTCTGATTGCCTCACCAAAAAGAAAAAGATAAAAAAAAAAGAATTTGGATGCTATACCACTTGGTGCATGTATGTTTAGTACTGATATTACTTTATCGTCTATGGTGCCTTTTAGCAGGATGTAGTTTCCTTCCTTATCTCTTTTGATAACATCTATTTTTGCTTTTGCTTTGTCTGAGATCAGGATTGCTAACCCTGCTTTTTTTTTCTTCAGCTGACACATAACATACTCTACTCCAGCCTTTTACCTTTACCCTCTTTGTGTCCCTTTGTTTCAAATGTGTTTCCTGTAAACAACATACTGTAGTATTAAGGTTTTTAATCCATTCTGCTACACACTTCTGTTTTATGGGAGAGTTCAACCCATTCACATTCACAGTTATGATTACCATCTGTGTCTTTCTCTCCATCCTATTTCCTCCCATTTATGCTTTTCTTTCTCCTTTCTCCCTTTCCCTCTTCACTAGCGTTTTGCTTTGGACCACTGCCTCTCTCAGTCCCGCCTCCCTTCTATTAGCATCCTCCCTTTTCTTCCCCTTTACCCTTACTACTTTCCTCCTTTCTATCCCCCCCTCCCTTTTCTTTCCCGTTTTCCCTCCTACTGCCTATAGGGCCAGTTAGATTTCTATACCTGAATATGTCATTCCCTCCTTGAGCCTAATCTGATGGGAGGAAGGTTCAAACAACGCTCATCTCCCTTCCTTCTTTCTCTCTGCTGTAACAGGTTTTTGTGCCTTTTCCTGTAATGTAATTACATTACATCACCCTTGTCTGCCTCCTTCTTTCCTTTCCTCCCAGCACAATCCCTTACTTAGATTCATTTAACCCACTTGGATATTTTTTTTATCATTACATCAAACTTATACCCATCCCCTCTGTGTATATCCCTTTAAAGTGGTGTAATAACAATACAGTTCTCAAGAGTTACAAGTGTCATCTTCCCTTGTACAGATGTAAACAGTTTGCCCTTGTTAATAACACGTTGTTTCTTTCTGTCTCCTTTATCCTTTTATGTCTCCCTTGAGTCCTGTATTTGAAGATCAAATTTTCTGTTGAGCTCTGGTCTTTTCATCAGGAAGGTTTGGAAGTCCCCTATTTCATTGAATATCCATCTCCTCCCCTGAAAGATCATGCTCATTTTCGCTGGGTAGTTGATCCTTGGTTGTAATCCAAGCTCCTTTGCCTTGTGGAATATCGTATTCCACACCCTACGATATTTTAATGCAGAAGCTAAAGGTCCTGAGTAATCCTGTGGTTCCATGATATTTAAATTGTTTCTTTCTGGTTGCTTGCAGTATTTTCTCTTTGACCTGGTAATTTTGGAATTTGGCTACTATATTCCTTGGCGTTTTCCATTTGGGATCTTTTTCCAGAAGTGATTGGTGAACTCTTCCTATGGCTATTTTACCCTCTCCACCCAGACTTTGCCTGGAGGCCTCCTCTAGTGACTCGGGCCCTTCCAGCCTTTGGACAATCCCTCCATTTGGCAGAGATACTGGGGTGATTTGCCATGTCCTTCTCCAGCTCATTTTACAGATGAGGAAACTGAGGCAGACATGGTGAAGTGACTTGCCCAGGGTCACACAGCTAGTACGTGTCTGAAGCCAGATTTGCACTCATCTTCTATCCACCTAGTCGCCCCTCGAGGATAGCAGTGGTTAGCACTTATGTAGCACCTACTGTGCGCCAGGCCTTGTGCTAAGAGCTCTGCAAAAGTCACCTCATTCAATCCTCACAAGAGCCCCGGGAGGCAGGCGCTGTTATTACTGCTACTATTATATGTTACATTACATATTGTTACTAACCTAGTATTACTATGACTATTTACAGATGAGGAGGCTAGATCCAGAGGAATCTCGGAGCCCCTCGTGTTAGAGTTGAGGAAACTGAGGCCCAGGGACGTGCGACCTGCCCAAGGTGGGGCAGGATTTGAACCCAGGTCCTCTGACTCCAGTGTACTCCTGTGCCTCCGAAACTCACTGGAGGAATGACCATGGGCAAGTCATTTCCCCTCGAAGACTCAGTTTCCCACCAAGTGCATGCCCCGGATTTGCCAGCGTCAGCTGTATTACGCAGCTTCTCCCTTCCGCTTCCTCCCCATCCTGCTCCCTCCCTCCCCCGCACAGTCTTCCGGCGCTCGAGAGGCCCCGCCCCCTCGAGGCCCCGCCCCTGAGCGCCCCTCTCTGGGGCAGGCGGGAGGAAGAGAAGACTGGAAAAGGAGGGGCCAGAGGAGCTAGTAGATGGAGGGGGCTGGGGGCGGGGCCTGAGGAGCGCCGGCCGGAGCCGCGGGCGGGCCTGCGGGGGCGGAGCCTCGAGGGGGCGGGACCCGAATGGGGGCGGGCCCCGGGGGTGGTGCTGGGGGAGGCCCTCGGGGGCGGTGCCACCATTGGCGGAGCCGCGAGGGGCGGGACCCTCGGCGGGGCGGGGCCTCGAGGGGGCGGAGCCGGGCCCGGGCAGAGCCGGAGCCGTAGCCGGAGCCGTAGCCGGAGCCGGAGCCGGAGCCGGAGCTGGAGCCGGAGCCCGAGCGGAGCCGGGCCTGAGCCGGGGCCGGGCGGAAGATGTGGTTCTTCGCCCGGGACCCGATCCGAGACTTCCCGTACGAGCTGAGCCCGGAGCCCCCCGAGGGCGGCGGCGCGCCGGGCCCGGGACTGTGGGCGCTGCACCGCGGCAAGAAGAAGGTGACGGGCCGGGGCCAGGGAGCAGGCCGCGCTGGCTGGAGTCCGGGCGGCCGGAGGTGGCCGGCCCCGCCCCCGGCCCGCCCCCGGCCCGCCCGGCCTGACGTGGCCCCCGCGGCGCAGGGCAGCCCCGGGGGAGGGCCCTCGGGGGTCCTGGGGGCGGGAGACCCTGCTCCCCCCCCAGCGGAGCCCCCACGTGTTCCGGGGCGAGGGAAGGGGGCGGGGGGACCCCCAAGCTCCCCTCCCCCCACCAGCCCGCACTTCCCCGCAGGCCACGGGAAATGCGGTGTCCGTGTTCGTGTACGAGGCCAAGCCCGGGGACGAGGAGCAGACGCTGGTGGCCAAAGCAGCCTTCAAGCGGCTCAAAACCTTGCGGCACCCCAACATCCTGGCCTACCTCGATGGGCTGGAGGTAGGCGGACCGGGGCGCCCCGCCCCAGGACCTCTCCGACCGCAGACTCCTCCTCTGCCCTTCCCTCGGTTTCCCCTTTAGCCTTTACTCGCCTGTTCTTTCTCTGACCGCCCCAGGTGAACGTCTTCCCTTCCCATAACATCACAGGGACTTTGGAGATTCACTAGTCTTAACCTCCTCACTTACAGATGGGGAAACTGAGGCCCAGAGAGGGGAATGGGGGCACTTTCCCCTTTCTACTGTGTCCGTCCTCTCCCATTGTCTTTAAGACCTCCCCCTCCCCACAACGATCTCCACATGCCTTGCTCAGGCCCTCTTCAGTCCCAGCCCCAGTCTGGTCAGTCAGTTTCTTCCTCTTGTCCCTAATCACTTAACCCCCTCACCTTCACCTGCCTTGTTTCTAACTTCCCATCTGTCTCAGCTCGGGGATCTGTGCTCCCCGGCCGGTACTGACCTACGTCTTGGTCCTTCTCCCAGACAGACAAATGCCTTCATGTGGTGACTGAGCCTGTGACCCCACTAGGGACGTACCTGAAGTTGAAAGCAGAAACGGGGGGCCTGAGTGAGCTGGAGATCTCCTGGGGGCTGCATCAGATTGTGGTGAGAACCGGATGCCGGCATCCCCCTCGGCTCGCCCTTTGGGGGTGGTGAGGGCGGGGTGCTGCCAGCCTGCCAAGCCGTGCCCCCAGCCTGACCTCATCCCCACAGAAAGCCCTGAGCTTCCTGGTAAATGACTGCAGCCTCATTCACAACAATGTGTGTACCGCGGCTGTCTTTGTGGACCGAGCTGGGGAGTGGAAGCTGGGGGGCCTCGATTACATGTACTCGGCCCAGGGGGACGTCGGGGAGCTCCCCCGCAAGGGGATCCCCGACCTGGAGCGCTACGACCCACCTGAGATGACGGACAGCAGCAGCAAAAGCGTGGGGGAGAAGTGGTGAGCATGGGGGATTGGGTGGGCAGGACCGTCAAGCCCCTCGTGGAATGAGACCTTGGCAGTGAGGAACAGGAGAGCAGGGTCAGGACCCTCCGTCATCCACCTTCTCCTCCCTGGCCTGCAGGAAAGGGGAGGGAGGAGTAGGGAGCCCTGATGCCCCCTGGCTCAGCATGGTCAGGCCCAGGAGGGCCCCTGAGTCCTGTCTTTGGGTCAACACAGGTCAGCCGACATGTGGAGACTGGGCTGTCTAATCTGGGAGGTGTTCAATGGCCCCCTGACCCGGGCCTCTTCCCTGCGCTCCCTGGGGAAGGTGAGTCTCTGGGATCTGGTTTCCCCCGGCCATCCCCTCGGGATGTCCCCTTGTTTCGTGGCCTTGCCTTACTCCCTTCAGCCATGTACCCCTCTCCCTTCTCTGGTCATCCTGGCCCTCCTGCCACCCGCCTCATTCAGCCCCTCGTCCTCCCTGGCCCACTGAGGCCCCTCTCGTGCCTACCCTTCTTCCAGATTCCAAAGTCTCTGGTTCCCCATTACTGCGAGTTGGTGGGGGCCAACCCCAGGGTGCGTCCCAATCCATCCCGCTTCCTGCAGAACTGCCGGGCCCCTGGCGGTTTCATGTGCAACAGCTTTGTGGAGACCAACCTCTTCCTTGAGGAGATCCAGGTGAGCTCAGCACGAGAGAGCTGCCCCCGAGAGTAAGGGCAGTGTTGGACTGCCTTGGGCCTCGCTTGTCCCTTGTGCTCTGTCCGCCTGGGGCTGGAGCACCTGGACCTCTGGTGCTCTTCCGAATTTCTTCTTTCTGTGTCCTTTGTAAGCCTGGGGAAATGTTGTACATGTACGCACGCGTGCACACACACAGGTTCCCCTCACTATAAATGCTTTTACCTGGCTGGCGATAGTGTTCCAATATAGACACTAGAAAACAAAAAATGTAATCTGCACTCAATAGAGGAGAGGGGACTTGGGGTGTGGAATGTGGCATGCGCCATCAGCTTTGCTGTTTGTTTTTCGATTCCAAGGGAATTCGGTGTGGGGTATGTTGAGAAATGATGTGTGTTGGGCTTTATTTAAGTTATCCATTTTTAAAAGCAGGACAGAAGTGTCCGCACACACGCAGGAACAACAAAGCCCCTCCTGTGACACTCAGCCTCTTATAGGATCGTGGCTAGTTTAGAAATGAAATCAGGAAGGGCGTTGGGCAGCAGGGGGAAAGGGGCCTGGCCCAGGAGTCGAGACCTAGATCTCAACCCCAGCCTGATGCCCACTAACTGCACTGCTTTGGGTAACCCGTGAATATGAACCTCGGTTTCTTCATCTGTAAAGGGAAGGGGCTGGACTGGGTGCCCCCCAAGGGCCCCTCTAGCGCCCGCCTTCTAAGCTTTTTCTATTCTCTTGGACCCCTGGGCTTTGTTTTTGTGGACTGATCTGAGCACTGGGCCAGGAGTCAGGAAGACCTCAGTTCAAATCCAGCCCCATTGTGTGATCCCTGGGCAAGTCACTTAACGTCTTGTTGGCTGAGTTTCCTCAACTGTAAAATGAGGATAATAATAGTATCTGTGCAGGGTTGCTGTGAGGATGAAGTGGGATAATGATTGTCAGGTGCTTACTGGCACACAGTAGGTGCTGTATATAAATGCTGATTCCCTCCCCCCTTATCTGTACTCCCTGCCCATCCTTAGAGAAGGGAGCTAGGGGCCAGGGCTATGTGATGGGTAGCACTGGGGACGTGGGCACTAGAGTTTGCCAAGTGTTAGCAGATGCCCAACTCGCCCATTTTACAGAAGAGGAAACAGGTCCAGGGAGGGGAAATGATTTATCCAAGGTTACACAGGATTCAAACCTAGGTCCCTTTGCTCCAAATGCAGCAGGCTTTCCACAGCCTGGCTATGGTTTTGAAAACTCATTCATGGTTCAGCGTCACTTGGGAAGGAGTTCTGGAGGGGAATGCCCCAAGGATTTGTGCTAGGCCCTGTGAGGTTTAACATTTCTACCAGAGTCTTGGATAAAAGTGTAGAGGCCGTGCATTCAGTTTGGAAGGTGGCACTTCCAAAGCAAAAAGAGTTCACAGTCTCTGGACATCAAGATCCACATTCAAAAGGTTCTTGACAGACTAGAGGCCTGGGACAAATCAAAAAAGATGGAATTTTTTTTTAATTTTTTTTAATTTTTCTTTTTTGATGAGCAACTGGGATTAAGTGACTTGCCCAGGGTCACACAGCTAGTAAGTGTCAAGTGTCTGAGGCTGGATTTGAACTCAGGTCCTCCTGAATCCAGGGCCGGTGCTCTATCCACTGCGCCACCTCACTGCCCCCAGAAGATGGAATTTTTTTTAAAAAGTTTTATAAATTGCTTTTTGTTTTTGACGCGGCTATCATTTCCCAATACCCAACATTCCCTCCCCCACACCCTTCCCTGTAACACGAAAAAAGAAAAGCAAAAGCGACTGAGTGCCAGTGATGTATGCACCATTCTGTATCTATAGTCCCACCTCCAGCTCCTGACCTAAGGCACTTTTTATAGCTTGGTGACCTGGGGCAAGTCACTTAACCTCTGTCTACCTCCTCAGTTTCCTCATCTGTAAAATGGAGGTAATGATAGCACTTCCCTCCCAGAGTTGTTGTGAGGATAAAATGTGATGATATTTCCAAAGTGCTTTGCAAACCTTAAAGCATTACATAAATTATTATGATTATTATAGGAAACACCCAGTATAGAAACTCCTCTCACCCACGTCAGGCATTCAATGATTTGTCTGTGACTTATGGTCCTGGAGCTGTGTGGGGCCTTGAGAGGTTAAGTGACTTGTCCATGGTGGCACAGCTGTTAAGTGTCAGAGACAAGACTTGAACCCAGACTTTTCCAGCTCCAAGGCTGGCTCTCTATGCCTTTCTACTGTTTTCCTACAGCCCTTCTAAAACATTGGCTGTTTTTGGCTTTATCTTTGCCGATTTAGTGTGTATGAAGTGAAATCTCATAATTTTTGTAGAATACTGTCTTGCACTTTGGTTTTAATTTCTCTTATTAGTAATTTGGAACATTTTTCATTTGATTGTTGATGGTTTTCATTTCTTCTTTTGGAAGGGAACAAGCATTTATAAAGTGCCTACTAAAAGTTTTACAAATGTTACCTCATTTGATTCTCAAGGTACTGTTGTTATCCCCACTTTACACTTAAAGAAACTGAAGCAGACGGGTAAAATGACTTTCTTAAGATCACCTGGATAGTATATGTTTGAGGCAGGAGTTGAACTCAGGTCTTCCTGACTCCCAGCCCAGTGCTCTAACCATTTTACCACCTGTCTGCCCCGTGATCATTTATGTATTGTGATTGGCTCTTAGTCTCATATGTTTGTGTTAGTTTTTTCTATAGAATGTCAAGCTTTTATCTGGGACATCTGATGCAAAGATTTCCCTACTGTCAGTTTCTCTTCTTATCCTAATTGCAATAATTTTGAATTAATATTTTTATTTCATTAAATATTTCCCAATTACATGTAAAAAAATTTTAACACTCATTTTTTAAAATTTTGGATTCCAGATTCTCTCCCTCCATCCCAACCCTCCCCCCTCCTTGAGAAGGCAAACAATTTGATTTCGATTATACATGTGAGGTCATGTGAAACATATTTCCATATTAGGCATTTAACATTTTTTATAATAGGAGATTATTTGTTTTGTCCTTTGTGTTCCCCTCTATCGCTTGTTTGGTTATGGAATCTCTCGACTGGAGTGCTGAAAGGCATCTCCTTCAGCTCTTTCTTTTTAGGAGGAGATCTCATGTGTTAGTTCACTTTGGGAGCATCTCATGATTTCCCAGTGGGTGCCCTTAAATAATGGATGTTTTCTAGGAAGAAGGATTGTTTCTGGGGGATTTGGAGCTAGTCAAATGAGGAGGCACAGTGAAGCAGCAGTTCATGGGGGGCGGGTTAGTGGTCTCCAAGCTTGATGGGAGTTAAAAGCCAACACAGAGAAGACGGCGCCAGGACTAGGGAGGCGACAGGCCCACTTGCATTCTGTCCTAGGCAGACATCATCTAGGATGTTTTGAATGCCACATTTTAGGAAAGAAATGAACAAGCTGTAGAAGAGAACAAGTATGTAGAAGAGAACAAGTAGTGTGGAGAAGGGCCTTGAAAATGCCTTAGGAGGATGAATGGAAGAAACTGGGGATGGAGAAGAGGAGGCTTATGGAGCATGATAAAGGCTTGTCACATGGAAGACTTCAGGAACAGAACTAGGAGAAATGGGTGCATGTTGGAAAGAGGCATATTAAGGTTTAATGTCAGGAAGAAACAAAACAAAACAAACGGCTTCTGCGCTACCAGAGCCACCTACAAGTGGACTGGTCTTCTGGTGCTGGTAGGTTCTTCATCGGACGTCATCAAGCACAGGCTAGATGGCCACTTCCCAGAGATGCTATAGTGGGAATTCTTGCTCAGGTATGGATTAGATTAGGGGATTCCTGAATTCCCTTCCTCTGAGGTTTTGTGATTCTGTCTCACATCTATCTTACACTGACTACTCTAACAGATCAAAGAACCTGCTGAGAAGCAGAAATTCTTCCAGGAACTGAGCAAGAACCTGGATTCCTTCCCTGAGGATTTTTGCCGGCATAAGATCCTGCCCCAGCTGCTGACAGCATTTGAATACGGCAGTGCTGGAGCAGTCATCCTCACCCCTCTCTTCAAGGTGAGCTAAGCTTCGTGTGACCAGGAGGGGGAGAAGAGCTGCCCTCGGCTACCGAGGTCCCAAGCTGACTTTCTGCCTGGACTGAGTTGGGACCACAGGTTTGCGCCTCCAGCCTCCGTTCTTTTGCAGGTTGGCAAGTTCCTCAATGCTGAAGAGTACCAGCAGAAAATCATTCCTGTGGTGGTAAAGATGTTCTCCTCCACCGACCGGGCCATGCGGATCCGCTTACTGCAGCAGGTGGGCTGCTCTCTACCCCTGTCCAGGGCCTTGCTTCCCAGCCTGGGTTCCAGCGGCCCTCAGGGTCCTGGGGCAGGGATGTGTCTTTGCTGGAGGAGGTGGGGGTGGGTGAGAGGAAAGCAGTAAACCCTGGATTTGGAGTAGGGGAGTCAGAGGACCAGCTGGCTGCCTGTGGGGCCCGGGGCACAGAACTTCTGGCCTTCACTTTCCTCCTTGGGAGGATGGTGACCTTGATCTCTAAGGCCCCTTCAGTCCTCAGAGGTACCCACAGTAATGAGCTGTGGAAGAAAACCCAAGTGGCAAAGGCCCTGGTATTTTGGGCTGGCCAAAAGGATCCTTTTTGAGCTGAAGCGATACCAGGCAGCAGCTGGAAAGGAAGCCCGAGGGTTATGTCCTGCTGGTTCAGCCTGAGCCCAGGATCAGGAATGTTGCCAGCTCGTCTTTGTTGTTTGTAGACTAGTTGGGGAAACTGAGGCAAAGAAGGCCCCAAGAATGAGTGAGCAAGCGAAGGAACCTTAAGTCCTTTCTATTTGGCGAGCACCGTGCCAGATAAATAGATGGAAATACAAAACATGTCCTGATAAAGGGACCCAGCCCGAGGAGGAGAGTGCAGGTGTGGGCGCCTTGCTGCCCCAGCTCTGGGCACTGGCTCTCCCTTGGTGCCTGCCCCGGCCTCACGTGTCTCCTCTTCGCACCCCCGTGGCACAGATGGAGCAGTTCATTCAGTACCTCAATGAGCCAACAGTCAACACTCAGATCTTCCCCCATGTTGTGCACGGCTTCCTGGACACCAACCCTGCCATCCGGGAGCAGACCGTCAAGGTGCATTGGGAGGGGCTGAGCCCTGGCCACGTGGGATACGAGGCACCCTGACCATCGGGGCCCGTTGTCAGCCCAGGGAGGCCCTAGGAGTGGGCCTTGCCGCGCTCTGGCTCTGGGACCTCAGACAAAGCGTCTCCCTTCGTCATCTTGAAAAGGAAGGGGTCAGGCTGAGATGAGCTTTCAGCCCCTCCCCTCTCCCAAGGGTTTGGTTGCCGTGGGATCTCCTTGGGATGAGTCCATAGCTGGAGGGGTCACAATCAGTCTTCCTTCTGGACCTGGGAAGTGGGAAGCAAGGGGTGGGGCGGGGCAGGTGGCCAGCTGCTGACTCTCCCGTCCTCTGCGTTGGTGGGAAGTTGGGAGCTTTGGGTGGGTGGGATGCCAGGACAGGGGTACCTGGGTCTGGATGCTGGCCCTGCCACGTACTATTGTCAGTGTGCCCCGGGACCCCACAAATGTGACCGCCTCAGCCCGGTGCCCCTCTTTATTGAGGCTGGCAAGTTGGTGTAGTGAAAACAGGCACTCGAGTCTGAGGCTCTGGGTTTAAATCTCTGCTCTTCCACGTACTGCCTGCGTGACCCCAACCCGACCCCGATCCTCAGGCCTCATTTAGAGGAGGGGGTGACTCGGCCTGCTGAGGTCCTTTCCAGTCCTAGGCAGAGGGTCCAAACTCGGGTCCTTTCTCTGAGGGTGTCTGCCAAGGGATCCGTCCGCGGGCCCTCTTTGGGAACAAGCTTCCTGTCAGCTCCTTCTCAGGAGGCCGCCAGAGCGTGGGCAGCAGCCTTCGTGGGGGAGAAGAGAGCGGGGCCCGCAGCGGGCCGGGTGGGCTTGGGGCCGGCCGAGGGCCTCCAGGGTCCTGGAAAGGTTCTGAGCCAGGCTGTGGCCCCCGGCCTCCCGTTCTGTCCTCTAGTCCATGCTGCTCCTGGCTCCGAAGCTGAGCGAGCAGAATCTTAACGTGGAGTTGATGAAGCACTTTGCCAGGCTCCAGGCCAAGGACGACCAGGGCCCCATCCGCTGCAACACCACCGTGTGCCTGGGCAAGATTGGCCCCTACCTCAGCGCCAGCGTGAGTTGGGCATCTGCCTCTGCACCGCCCCAGCCTGGGGGGCCTCCGTCTGTCCCCTGCTTCCTCTGGTGCCCTCCAGAGCGGGCTTGGCTGGAACAGGGCCGCTGAGCGCCATCTCCTCTTCCTCAGACCAGACACCGGGTCCTCACGTCGGCGTTCAGCCGGGCCACCAGGGACCCCTTCGCCCCATCGAGGGCGGCAGGAGTCCTGGGCTTTGCCGCCACCCACAACCTCTACTCCATGAATGACTGCGCCCTCAAGATCCTGCCGGTCCTCTGCACCCTCACTGTAGACCCTGAGAAAACTGTGCGCGACCAGGTAAGGCACCAGGCCAGCCTCTGCTGGCCGGACAAGACACAGGCTGCCGAACAGACCTGGGACCTGAGCTCACCCCCGGCCCTGTGGATTTCACACCAGCTTCTCTGCTGGCTCTCTGAACCATCTCCTGCCTCCATTCTTTTGCCTAGGCTGTGCCTCGATGCACTCTGTGCCCCCCAGTCGCCTCCCCAGAAGCCTCCTTTGGGCCTCCCAGCCCCAGGGGATTGCTGTCCTCAGATTGTCTCAGAAAGTTGTGCGGCCCTCTCCTTTTGCCTTTTTTCCAGGCTGTTCTGAGTCACGTTTGCTGGTGTCTGAGCCCAAATATCATCCATTGTTTTAGAATCTTAGATCCGGAGCTGGAAGAGAGGGCCATTAGGGGGAACTGGGTCTAATCCTTTTCTATTACAGATGGGGAAACCAAGGCCCAGGGAGGTGAAGATGATTGGGTCATAGAAGTAGAGCTGGAAGGGACCTCGGGGTCTGCCCAGGGCAGTCCCTTCCTTATACTCCTCTCTGAAGCAGGATTTGAACCCAGCCCCTGTGTCTTTAGAGCCCCATCACACACAGTATCCTTCAAAAGTGTTTGTTAAAAATCCTGAGGTCCCCTAGTGTTCCATTGTACAGATCAAGAAACTGAGTCCCTGAGGTAACTCACTGTCTAGGGTGCGGTGTGATGGGGTGGGGTCTCCCGGCTCCCAGCCTCTCCCCCCTCCCCTCCTCTGTGCTCTGGCTGCCTCTGGATTCCTGGGCAGGCCCTCTCCCCCAGGGCCTCCACTTTCCCTCCTCCTCTCTCCACCCACAGGCTTTCAAGGCCATTCGAAGCTTCCTAACCAAACTTGAGTCTGTGTCTGAAGACCCAGCCCAGCTGGAGGAGATGGGTGAGCGTGTGTGGCCGCCCCTCTCCCCCTCAGGCCTTCTTCCTGGTACTGTGTGGCACCACCCCAGCGGTATTTGTCGATAGCCTCGGTACCTCCCCTGAGGACCAGGCCTGCCCCCTAACAGCCCCCTAGCCGCAGGCTCCCCACGCTGCCCTCCCCAGGGATCTCGCCCCCGGGCACTCCACATCGTCCTCTCTTTCCCCCAGAAAAAGATGTCCACAGAGCCTCCAGTCCCAGGCAGGGGACCAGCGCAGCGAGCTGGGCCGGCTGGGCCGTGACGGGTGTCTCCTCCTTCACCTCCAAGCTGATCCGAGCCAACCCCGCCCCCACTGATAGCACCCCAGCCAGCGACACCCCTCTCAGGCCGCTCCCAGAAGGTGAGTCTTCCAATTCCCTGGGAGCTTAGGATTCCATACTGTCCCCTGCCCCCCGTCATCATCATCAACAGACGGCGTCTGCAGCCCCTAGCATCCTGTGTCTCCTCCTGCCCTGGATGCTTTAGTCTCTGGACCTCAGTTCCCTGGGGCCGGATAAGATGGCCTCTGAGGACCCCTGGGAGGTTTTCACTTGGGGAGTGAGTCTGGGAGCCCCCATGCCACCTCACTTAGCCTCTCCTCAGTTTCTGTCCCTAGCACTGGAATTTAGATCTGCCTAAACTTCCAAGCCCCATTCCCTGCCTGGGTGGGGCTCCTTCCCCCTGCACAGCTGCAGCAGCCTGGAGCATCCATCCCTGGCCATCAGAGGCCCTGGCGGGAACATCCCCCCGGCTTCTCTCTCACCAGTTATGGGCACATAGGAAATCTGGGTTCTCTGAGAAGGCTGGTCGACTCCTGATGCGCCCCCTTTCCTCTCCTCCCCAGGCCCCTCAGCAGCAGCCCCAGTCCCAGCCCTAGCAGCTGCCCCTGCCCAGGTCCCTTCGGTGACCTCAGGTCAGTGGGACACAAGAGGGGAGGGGGAGGACGAGGAGGAGGAGGCAGCCGAGGAAGGGGAGGGCTCTGCTGACCGGTGGGACGACGAAGACTGGGGCAGCCTGGAGGTAAGCGGGACCACGGATTGCTCTCTGGGCTCTCCCTCTGCCCCTGCCCACGCTGGAATGGAGGGTCTGGGAGGGCAGGGGCTGTCCCCCTTTGGGCTCAAGTCCCTGGACTGCTGATTTCGTGTTCAGTCAGTAAGTCTCTTAGGGTGTGGAGGGGGAAGTGACCTCTGGAAGCACCGAGGCCGGGCGGCAGGGGGGTGGGAGCCCCCATCTTCGTTCCTGCCTAGTGACCCCTTTCTGCCGGTATGCTTCCTTTAGCCACCCACCAAATCTGTCGTCCCGGGGCTGGGGAGGAGTGAGGCCGTTAGGTGGCCCAGGACCCCATCCTCAGATGCATCCTAGCTGGGTGACCCTGGACAAGTCACTTCACTTCTCTTTGCCTCAACTTTTTTCCCTGTAAAATGAGGATTCACGATAGCACCTCCTCCCAGGGTAGTTCAAAGGAGCTAATGTTTGTAAAGTGCTTTGTCCATCCCAGCTGTCTCCCTTCTGTGGCCCCAGGAAGCACGCTGCGGGCTAGGGCCTCCTTTGCGGTACTCTGCACATGGGTTTGAGGATTTTCTTAGGATGTGTGTCCTTTACGGCCCCCTGGAGACCATACCTTCTCCTGCCTTCCCGGGCCTCCTTCCCACATTCTGCAGGGGTGCCTGTGGCAGCATCGGCTGCTCCTGCCAGATTCGGAGGGTTCAGGGAAGCCCCACTTGGGGGTGGGGAGGGCTGTCTGGTGCCAGAGTTGGGGCTGGGGTCCCCTACCCCTCCTCGGGCTCACCTCCTGCCCCTTCCTTTACAACAGGAAGGAGAGGCTCAGCGAGAAAACTGGAGCATCAATGATGGGGAGCACCAGTCCAGGAGGGTGAGGCCCTGGGTCCGGGGTGGGGGGGTGGTGACCAGTAGTGGGGCCCCTGAATCCAGGTGGTCCAGAGACTCTGCCACCCCCCCAGCCTCTCCAACCCTCTCCCATCGCAGGCTGGCAGCCCCTCTCGGAAGCCCCCCGAGTCTGACTGGAGCAGCTGGGAGGCCGAAGGCTCCTGGGACCAGGGCTGGCAGGAGTCAAGGCCCCAGAAACTGCCCGAAGGCACCAAGCTGGCCAGTGAGTACAACTGGGGTGGGACGGAGACCAGCGAGAAGGCAGATCCCTTTTCAGCCCTGGCACCTCGCCTAACTGCCAACACACAGGTATCATGTGTGGGTGAGCTCTGCCCAGGTGGGGGGGAGGCCTGCTCAGCCTGGGTGGGAGGGGGAGGCCTGCCTAGCTTGGGGGTGGGGAGGGGGAGGCCTGCCT